GGGGGGGGGGGCAGCATTTGAGGACGGACAAACATTCAGCTGACAAATTCATAATTTCATCTCATCAAAACGGAAAAACCCATGAGAATAAGAGCAGCCCGCAGCATCATCCCCTGATTCACAGATTAAACTGGTTCAGTTTATTCATTTAAAAGATCATGCAAAATAAAAACAGCATGACTTATTAGAAATCACTGCCTTTTATCTAAATCTCACTTCTGTTTTCTTTTATTCCTGCCTAAAATTCTTTTGGTTTCTGAAGTGCAGAAAAAAACCGTTTAGAAAATGCATTCACAGATTTCCAAGATGTACGTAACACTGAGTGCGTAGTTTGCACTTATAAAGCCACTTTTTATGCAAAACTTCAGTAACTTCATGTCTGAATCATGTGTTTTAATGAAATCTGCAGAACAGAACCAGACGTTGGACTCAAATGAAACTGTTGCCTTCACTTTCGATCATACAGCAACGAAAAACAAAACAGGAGCTCTTATTGTGAAAGGAGTGACAGGAAGTAATGGGCGGTACGCAGGATGTAAGAAATGTCTGATGAGAAAAATGGTTAAAAAAATGGTGATTCTTCCTCGTTCGGTTTCTTTCGGGAGTTCGAAATGTTTTGTGGTTTTTCTGGGAAACTAAACTCAACGAAAAAGTCAAAGTTGATAAACAACCAATCAGAAATCAGAGCAACTCTGTTGCCGGGTAGGAAATGTTGCAGTGAAGTTCAAGGATTGTGCAGCTCTCTGGACAGTTCCAGAAAATCCTGATTCAAACTTCTGGATTCTTCTGCTGACAAGGCTTATGGTTAATGTAGTTTTTAAGATTATGTATGGAAGCTCATTGTAGCCAAAAAAAAAACAGATTTTGTTTCTTTTTAATTATTCAGGTTTTTATTTATTTGTTGACATTTCTGAAGAGAAAAATTTTAATTTTTTTTCTAATAATTGCAGAATTTTTTTTTTCTTCAAAGGTGAAACTGAAAAATAATGAACAGCATCTTCAACAGTTTTTTTTTTTTGACTACATCTTGATCCTAGAACATCTTTATTTTCACAGTATTTGCACAGCTATTTGATTGGATTCTTAGTGTTTTTTTTATATTAAAATCAGGAAGCCATAATGTATGACGTGAACATTAAATGGACCAAATTTGTTTTTCAAGATGTTTTTTTTTTTTTCATTTTTGAAGGTCTGAATATTTGGCCTCATGTCCTATTTTTTGGAGAATTTTTTTTTTTTATATTTTTAAGCTTTTTTTTCTTAGAATCATATTAAAAAAAAAATCAAAATTTTTCTATTTGTTGATTTTTTTTAATTTTATTTCCTGCTTCCTTCTTTTTCTGCTTTTTTTGGGTATAATGTGCTTCCATACATCCAGACACTCTTCTCTTTTCCACACCATTAAAAAGGATCTTTTAAAACAGATGTAGAGATCAAACGCCCCCTGGTGTCCGCTGATGGAATTAATCAATGAAAAACTGGATGTTTGAGATTAAATCTGGGTTTGAAAAGTTAAGTTAAGTTTAATAGATTTTATTTCCAGTTTTGCAATAGTTTTCAGTGTAGAATGTAAGTTCAGATCAGCTGAAAGAAAACCACAAACTTTGTTTCTTTAATTGCAAGAAGATACTTTGATTATCTGTCTCACTCCTCATCTTTGCTTCATGGAGAGGTGCATCATGGGTAGTGTAGTTTCTCCGTGGTGTCTATGAGATGGCCTTGGCTTCAGGCAGGAAGGCCTCCCAGTATTTAATGAGCTGCAGGTCAAGAAAGAGAAAACCGATCAGTTTCAGATAGTTTAAGGATTTAGCTGCAAAAATTAACCTAAAAAAAAATATTTTTTTATTCTAAGTATTGAATCATTTTATAGCTTTGATTTACTTGAATAATATAAAGCGAATCTTTTACCTGCTGTTGTGTTTGAACCAGCGACTCCAGGTATTTAACGATGATCATTTTAAAATCCTTCACTCTCTCTTTCTATAGAAAAACAAAAACCTATTCAGAATAAAAAGCAGAAACTTTTCCAGGTTTAAAATTCTCAGTTTTTTTTCTATCTGACCTCAAACCTGCCGACTTCTTTGCGGATGGTTTTGGAGATTTGCTCAAAGTCTCGCTCCCCCTGCTGGACTTTTCCCTCCAGCTAGAAAACAAAGGAGGAAACATTCAGCGTTCGCTAACCTGTAAACTAGAAATGTTGAGATTTTACAGCCTTAGAAGGAAAACATGTCTGATGATCCACAACCGACCTTAATCTGTGAATTAGTTTAGACTTCTATGTAGATAACTATCAGACAGAAATGTTTAAAAGACTTTAGAAACCATGAATTAAACTCATGGCAGGAAACTTATTTACTCCTTAATATCCTGTAAACTTTGATGAAAGACGTCCTTCATTTATAGATAAACTTAAAAGCTTAAGTCTGATTTCCTGAAGTAAATTTTCAAGTTGAACAGTCATTGGACCAATCCAATTCGAGATAAAAGCAGAGGGCGGGATGTGATTGGACCACTGAAGGCAACCAATCAGAGCAGAGTGGGATTTAAGGAGGCGCCATCAGCGTCTCCTGTTAATAAATGGAAATTGTCTATAAACCAAACTGAACGATTGTTGTTCTCTACTTCAAAAAACACTTTAGATTTTAAAATAAAAAAAATTTCAATTATTTTTTCTATATTCTTTTATCTAAAAAGTCAATGTATAACATGGATGCATAAAAACCTGCATTTTATTTCAGTGTTAAAATCTGCTTAAAATAAAGATTATAATTCAAAATGTCACCGGACCTTTACTGGTTGATGATTTTCTTTATTCGGACCCGCTGATTTTTAATTGGTTACCCTTGATCTAAAGGGAAAATAAAAATAGTTTCCTAAATAATTCAACGATTTGAGATGGAGTTTAAGGTTTTAATGTTTATGTTTAAAAGCTAAATAAAAATTTAGTCCAACACTGGGAAGAAAAGGCTTCAAATTTTAGTGAAAGTCGTAATTCCGATAAAAATGGTCATACGCCATTAAAATTCACAATTTTAGTGTAAAAGGAAAAAAAATCTGAGATGAAAAAATTGAAAATATAAACAAAAGAAGTAAGAATTTTATTAAATTTGATAAAAATGGATCAGAACCTGAAGTAGAAATTAAAACAATAAGAACTCTGAGTCTAAAATAAAATTTAAACAAAAAGTTCGACACTAAAGAAAAGATTTAGAGTTTTGAGACTAAAATCAAAGTTCTGAGAAAAAAAGAATAAAAAAAAAACTGTAATAGTTTCTTTAAAAGTGAGAATTTTGAAGAAAAAGTCAGAAAAAGTTTCAAATTTGTGATTTCACGTTTTATTTCCAATATTATACAGATTTCACAGCTTAGACTGTGACCTGATACGGCTTGAATCATAAATTATTTTATTACTGATTCTGTTATTCAAACAAACAACAATATCAGAATAACTGACCCATAAATTATTAAGCAATGCGTCACACAAACTTTAAACAGCAGGGTGGCGTTTCTATCAGCTGGCTTTTATCAGAGATTAAACATGCAGGTTTTTAGCTTTCGGTCGTTATTGGAGCGATTTCCATGATCAAAATCAGAATTTATAGAAAGAAAAATGTTTGAAATTCAGAGAAAAGATTTAGAGTTCTGAGACTGAAATCTAAATAAAAAAAAAAAAAAAAAACTAAATTCTGAGACAAAAAATTATATTCTGGGATTTTTATCTCAGAAATCTGAGAAAAAGGAAACCTTACACAAAACAATTTGTCGAGAAAAAAAAACATGTATTGTTTTTTCAGCGACGCTAATCTTCTCCCATAATTCAGCTGATGAATGTGATGGAAGATGGTTTATGAAAAAACAACAAAATATAAGAACAAAAACTAAATACGCTGAATTAAAATCCGCTAAACGTGAACTAAAGGAGGCAACGAGGCGTGAAGCAGCAGACAGACAGACGGACAGACACACACACACAGACAGACAGGCGGGCGGGCGGGGCAGCTCCTACCTCCTCAATCTCCTGGCGGTGGGAAGGCATGGCGAGGGAAATGCAACAAAATTTAAAACAAACTCAGAGCTTCCAAAAGCAAAGAGATGAGCAAACAGCGAGCAAAACTAAATCTGACCAGGGAGGAGTTTCTGAAACGTTTTTTTTAAAGCAAACAAGTTTCACTCCTTTAAAGGAATTCATGATATTAAATAAAGTCTTTAGGAGGAGGTCAGAAAAATGAAAATATTCAGCAAATATTCCTCATTTTTTGGTCAAAATGAAAGAGGAATGACGACCTGCTGAACCATCAGGACAGGTTGGTAATGATGTTTAAAGATAAAGAGGATTCTCTCATATGAGAGGAACTTATTCATCGACGGATCCTTTCACAGTCTGGTTCAGTTTGTCGACACTTTTCCAGGATTATCAGAGCAAACAGCTGGACTGATGAGAGCGAACAAACGCTCTTCATCGTTTGACTTTATAAACGTCTCAGCTTCTTTAGCAGCAGCAGTAACGTTACAGACCCGATGCATTGGGGCCTGTGTCATTTATTAATCATAAAATCAAAATAAAGGCTGTTTGCTTCCTTTCACAGGAAAAAAATCGAAATCTAGATAAGTCATTTTTCTTTAAATAAGTGCATTTGTTCATTTGACATTTTGCTAATGGGACAAGACAATTAAACACTTTAAAATAAGAAAACACAATTGCATGGTCTTATTTCAAGTGCATTTTATCCAATTATTTTATTTTAGGAGTAAAAATACTCATTCTATTGGCAAAATATCTCATTTACCTGCTCAAATTAAGTGTAATTACACTTAATCTCAGTAATGTTTACTTATTTCTAGATCGTTTTTCCAGTGTTCGCAGATGTCTGTGATTCTTTGGACCCTCCAGATCGACTCAGTCTAAAATAATCTGCTCCAAACTGACTGAGAAGTTGTTTAAAGTATTAAAAGAGTTAGTTTTTTTTATTCAACGCTTCGTTTTTATGAAGCCAATCAGCCGTTTGTCGTTTGGAGTTCTTCATCTTTAATCTAGATCTAGAAGGACGCCTTTTATCTGGATCATCGTTGATTTAAGTTTTCACTGATCTGATTTTACTCCTTTCCAACTCTCTCCCTCAGTCTGACACCTTTGAAGCTTTCTGACGACCAAAATAAAACGAAAGCGGCAAATTAATGCATGATTACAGGCACTGTATCTTTACACATTTAAAAAAATCATCCAGACAGAATAAATTGATAATTTTATTGTTAAAATGTCTGTTTGAATCTAAAACATCAGCGACTTTAAACCGATTTATTTGTGAGCAGCAGATTCAGAGCAGACTGTAGTTTGTGTTTGGTGCCTACAGGGGGCAGCGTGGGCTAAAGCTCTAATTTAGACTGAAGGAACCTTCATCACAGAGAGGTTTGATACTGATGATGATGATGATTAAAAACCCGACGGAAACCAAACCTGAATCTATTATTTTTTTTATTCAATCTTAAAAAGAAAAATAATTATTGTTACATTTCTGTGTTTTTATGAATAACAAATAAAATAAACTTCATAATAGTAATGGAAATATATTAATGACCTTTAACCCCTAAGAAGAGATAATCAGATGAATTCAGAACTGGTTTCTTCCTGTTCTTCAGGTTCTGCTCAGCAGCAGCAACAAGTTAAAATGTTCTCAGAAAAAGCCGCCGTGTGTTTCCTGTCAGAGCCTGAACCAAAACCCGACTCCTGACAGGAAGCTCCAAATAAATGTTGGTTGTAACTCTACTGCGATGGCTCCTCGCCTGCAGCTTCTGACAGCCTCCCTCCCCCACTCCCCCCTCCCAAAACCCGGCTCCTGACAGCCGCTCAGGCCCCCGACCGCGCAGGCCCTCCGCGTGCGCGCGTGGATCCTGACAGATGAATTTCTGCTGTGACGGCTTCAACAGAAGCTCTAATAAAGTACTTTTCGACTCTCCTGTTTGTCGTGGCGAGTTGGGCTGAAGTCTGCGGGAAAAGAAGTTTTCGGATGGATGAGCCGAGTTTATTTCAGCAGCTGAACCGCAGACTGTGAAACATGAGGGATTCTCTCAGCGCCCAGTTTATTTCACTGGGAGAGCAGCTTCCTCTGTGATCAGATGTCAGAGCGAAGCCACTCAGGGTCCCTTTAATGGGTTAAATACCTGAACCCTAATATGAGCTCAGATTCAGCCTTCACCACAGCTTCGTTATGTTTAGATCACCTTAATATTCTGCAGCACATCGTTCAGGGTTTAAACTGATCAGAACGAGAATAAAGAAAAGCTTCTCAGCTAATTGTTGAGGAAATGGTGGCCGGTTTGTGGAAAATATTCAGTCCAGTCTAAATAAGCTGAAGGATGACAGCAGCCTGAGAGAAACCTGAGGATCATTGGCTGCAATGCTGGTTTCCACAGCCAGGGGGAGCTATACGCCCTTTAATGACCTGTTAGAGGAGGAGGAAAGGAGTCTGACAGAAGATGACCCACATGAACAACCTGCAGGACCAGACCAGGGTCCAATATCAGTTATAATCCAGAACTGGATCCAGATCTGGAATCACATATGATCCGGATTTACATCTAGGCATGACCTAGAACTGGATTAAAAAAGTCCACATTTTGTAATTCCTTGTGGTTTGAATTCTTTATTTCAGTGTCTAAGTTGTCTAAGAAATATTCCCACCCCTGACAGATTCAGGCTGTTAATGATTCTTCTAATGGAGCTCCTTTATTTTGGAGCGGTCCAATCCGAGTCCTGACATTAATCTGAAAGAGTCCATGGAGGGAGCTAAAGATTAGGGTGATGGTCAGGAGACCTACCAAACACTAAGACTTAAAGCTCGTCACTAACTAGCAGAGAAAAGAAACAAGCAGCTGCTCAGTGGGTTTAGGAGGAGTTTGATTTTATTGAATTTAATGATTTTTATTGATTTTTTTTTATTGGACATCCCTGAGGTTCCTTCAGCTGCTGCCTTATTCACATCTCTCCTCATCGGATGTTAAACTAAGAACCCAATGCCGAGTTTGAAGTTTGTTTTTAGTGATGAGCCTGGTTCTGTTCAAGGTTTGCATGGAAAACGTAAAGATATGACAGAAACTTTGAATACAGCTGAACTCAAAGATGAATAATCTCTCAAAAAATATCTAAAGAAATTTCTTAGAATCAATTCCCTGATATTACAAACGGAGCTGGAATCAAAATGATATTTAGACCCGGTAAAGTCCAATTATCTGTGTCATCTTTTTAACTAACCTTTAGGACATAAAACAAAGTCAGGATGTAGACGACCAGCCTGGACTGGTTTCCATTCTTTGCTCTTATTGTTGCAGAGTTAGAAATAATCTCTGCTTCCGTCGGAACCCGTTTGGTTCTGGGAATGTACCGAGCTGCGCTCTCACCTCCTTGATCTCATCTTTGGCCTGCTGCAGCTTGTCCGGTTTGTTGGTGAACTGCAGCTTGGCTTCAGCTTCTCGTTTCTTCTGCAGCAGCATCTGGCTGTCCTGCCACTTCTGCCACGTCTTCATCCGCTGGTCAAACACTCCCTGGACACAAACACAGCCGGGTCCAAAGTCAGGATCACAGCAATAAAAACGGAAACAGTTTTTTTTCTGGGAGGATTTCTGCGTCATCATTCCTAACTTTTCCAGGCTGGATGTCTGTGACGGTTTGAGGAGAAAGAGTATGATAATAAGACTGAGTGGGCTCTGAGTTCTGTAGAAGTTTTAGTCCCATTTCTCTCACTCTTGAGAACACTACAGTGAGTTCTCTCTACAATGAAGTCCTCTCAAAGTGAGGGAAGTGCAAGTGAAGATTCTTGCTAAGAGATGGGACACTGCTAGTTCGGTTCGGTTACCATTTGCATGTTTGCAAGCGATACAAGGCTTTGTCTATATAAGACTCAAACTCACTGCAGATCCAGACATTTGAATTGAGAAAAGTTCCTGGAGGGGAAGCGAAACGTCTTCAAATCTTGGAAACCAAGTCCAGTGGATATTTTTTGAACTTTTACGGAAAGACACTGCTAGATGGTGGTAATGCCCTAGACATGACGTGTTCACTTACGTCATGCGTAAACTCAGCGTGAGTCACAACCGTCCGGGTTCTGTCCATCAGCTGCCCCGGGAGGCGCCGGCCAAAATCGGAGTCCCTCAATCGGATCAACTGTGAGCTAGATCCCACTGACTCTGCTGAGCTTGAACATCCAATATCCAACTTCTAACCAACTTCACTGCAGTCATAATCATCCTACTTTAGGTAAAAAAAAAATAAATTAAATAAAAAAAACTCGCTAGATTTGTGTATTGCGAAAAAAATAGCGATTTTGCAATATTAATGTTTTAACACGATGGCAGAGAACTCAGTTGTATTTATGTCTAATATATTCCAAAATATTTTTTTCTAAATGTGTGGTTAATTGTAAAAATATGCTCCCAGTTGTGTAGCTCTTTTCCACAGATGGACGCCATTTCTCCCTTCGCTGAATGATTTACAGAGTATTCAGGGACACCACTGCGTTCCATGTCAGCTCTTGACCGCCCTCAGTCTGAAGGGGTCATTTTAAGGGTTGAAGGGCACTTCCCCCTTGCTCTTATAACTATTGGGTCACACTACCCTTACAAATGAACGCGAAAAACCGAGTGTGACGGCCCAAAACGAGTACAAGTGAAAGAAATGGGACTGGGCCTTAATCCAACATGGTGGCTGTTTTTTTCTGTTGGTTCCCCGTCCGTCTCTGCAGTCGTACCTTGACGGCGCTGATCAGTCGGACGTAGTCTCCCAGCAGCTCAGAGAAGAGGTAGAGGTCGGCGTTGGCCTGGTCCTGGTGCAGCTGGTCGATCTTCTCCTCCACCTCAGCCAGCTGGGACAAAGCTCGGGACAGCGCCGTGTGGTCCTCGCTGTTCCCCAACATGGCCGCTGACTTGGCGAACTGCGCCGTGTTTACGGACAGCTCTGGAGACCAGAAAGGCAAAGAACCTAAATCGGTCTGTGCAAAGTTCACTACATAACAGGCTGAACCTCCTAGAAAGCCTGGAGAACCAGCGATCGAGACCTACTGGAAAGATGAGAGGAAAGTCTGCATGTTTGGAGGGAAAGAAGGAAATGGATCCAAACTCCAACAGTTTTTCAGTGATAGTGGCGTCTAAAAGTGTCATGTTTCAGTTAATTAGCGCTTAATTGGGAGAGTATTAAATTCAGGTATGACTTTTTTGACTGAAAAACTAAAGAAAGAAAAGTGTTTAAAAATCTCTACCAACAGTAGTCAGGAGTCAATTATATTTTATTTATCTAAAAGAATAAAATAAATGTACAATATCAATGAGAACTTTTATTTCCTTAAGGTTTGAAATAAATAATTTCATGAAGAATATTTAAAGATTTGTTGGGTTCGACCTGCTTCTTGTACATAATGTAAAAACGGTGGCATCGTGCCCCTGCTGTACGGCGCCTCTCCTTAATTTGGTTGAAGTTTAAACAAAGTTTGCTTTAAAACAAAAAACACTGCAGATACATTTCCTGGAAATCTAACATTTTTTTAGCTTCAAATATTACATCTTCAGTGTGGAAGTTATTACTGAAGGAAGAAAACAATGACAGTGATCTTCAGTTTCACAAGCTTCATTTTCCCTTTGGTTCCACTTTAATCTAAATGAAGAGATTTTAAATAGGAATATTTTTCATAAATGTAAGCGGAGGATTAGAGCGATATATGAAGCTGTTGGAAAAAGGTGTGTATATTTCATTCTCGCTGTAGAAGAGAGTCAGCAGGTGACAGGAAGCGGCAAAGATCTTCATCTTTCTCATGTTCTAAAAACCTCAGATATTTAAAAACCGTCTGCGGCAGACGAGCTAACGTTAGCCCCGGCTGCCGCAGACGGTCTAACGTTAGTACTGGCTGCCGCAGGCAGGCTAACGTTAGCCCCGGCTGCCGCAGATTGTCTAACATTAGTACTGGCTGCCGCAGATGGGCTAACGTTAGCCCTGGCTGCCGCAGATGAGCTAACGTTAGTTCCGGCTGCCGCAGACGCAGATGCTGCCGCAGATGGTCTAACATTAGTACTGGCTGCCGCAGACGGGCTAACGTTAGCCCTGGCTGCCGCAGATGAGCTAACGTTAGTTCCGGCTGCCGCAGACGCAGATGCTGCCGCAGATGGTCTAACGTTAGCCCTGGCTGCCTTTACCCTCGGAGGTGCGCTGGTTTCCACGGTCCTCTTAACTTAGGGAATTATTTTTAGATTACGCATTAAATCAGTAAATGGTCCATATTGAAGCTTAAAGTATAATGTTCTCGCCTCAAATGATCTTAAAACATACTTTTATAGAACATTTACAGAAAAGAGAACTTTTAACTTAATACTGCGCTCTGTGAACGCTAACCTGGAAGCTGCTGCTGCCGCAGTGCATTCTGGGACAGCTGTTAATCTCAAGAACATCAAGTCTGCTCTAATGCATGCTGGGTAAAGAGGGAGGGGCCAGAACAACTTCCGGGGACTTTGTCCGTTCTCGCTCTGTTCTTGTGAATTGGAACAGCACCAGGGCTGATGCCGTTTCACGAGCACACGAGAACGCACAAGTACACAGATTAAGAAGTGGGCAGAATGATCCCGATGCTTTTATTGTGGTAACAGGAAGTGTACCTTTCCTGTGGCAGACCAAAGACTCCACACTGGCATGGAGTTTCTTCAGCTGGATGTCCAGGTTCTCAAAGTGCTGCTGTTTCTCCTCGAACCACTGATGGAGAAACAGAGTCTGATGAAGACTTTAATTAACTTTCATTCATTTTCATTTCCTCTCCATGTCTTTCCCTCATCTTTTATTTCCTCTAATCTTCTTCAATCTGTTCAGTAGAATCATGATCTTCACTAATTTTCTCTCCTTTATGCTCCTCCTCTCTACCTTCCCTCATTCTTTATTGTGTCACAGCTTCATTTCTCATTTTTCCTGCTTTTTTCCTTCTATCTAACCTTCTACTCTTCCTTTCCTTCCTCCCATTCCCCTGACTCCTCTTTTATCTCCCTTTCTTTTCTCTGTGGGTTCATCCCTCTGTTTTCTTTCACTCACGGCGTCTGACTCGTTCATCTTGATGGTCATCTTGTTGACGGCGTCGGCGGCTTTGTTGACCATCCTCAGGATCCCGGCGCTGCTCAGCGCCTGGGTGTTAACGGCCCGCGGCAGCTGCACAGCAAACACAGACAGGAGTTAATCTGCTTCCTTTAATTAGCTGATTTTTCTTGTCTTTCATGTAGTTATTGTTTCTTCTGTCCTTTATGGTCACCCATTTTATTTTATTTGCTCCACTTTGTTTCTGAAGCAACTTTAGCAGCGGATGAGTCTGGAAACAGGCTCATTTTTCTTCATTTTGGGAAAGTTTTACCTTTTCTCTCTGCCTCCCCCCGCCCTGCTCAGATCTCATTTAGCGGGAGCGGCGGCGGCGAGGGGGCAGCTGAGTCCCCGGGGCCCTCGGTGAAGGAGGGACGAGGGTAAATGACTGGACGGGGGGTAAAGTAGCTTTAAATTGCGCCCCCCTCCCCGGCTTGTTGTTTCATTAAACGAACAGGACGGAGCGACGCGCTCGGCTTCCTGGCGATTCATCTGCTGGAGCTGTTGACACGGAGGCATTTATTGGGTCCAGAACAATCCCAGCCACAGTTAGGGCGACGGGCTGCCAGGAATGGGTTTGGGGGGGGGGGGATCGGGCGGACACGACAGGACGAAATGTTTTAGAGGATTAAGTCTGAGTGGAAATAAATGGAAGGAACGGAAAACGTCAGCAGCCCTTAAACCCCCCGCTGGTTTTCAGAGGATCTCTGGTTTGACCTTGTTGGGAAAAAGAAACAAAGACGTCTGAGTTTTCAGACTTTTCTCAGACAGAAGTGTTATTTATCTTTGACTGGAGGAAAAAAAAATCCACTATACTAACATTGGTGTCAGATTTTCTAATTTAAGAGAAAATATGTCTATTTGCTGAAGAAAAAAAACATTAAAACCCTTTGATCAAATTAAATAATTTCAGGCAAATAAGTGTTAATGATGCCGATTGTTTGAAAAATAAATTATGACAACAGACATTGAACATATGTCTGGTTTAAAGGTAGAATTATAAAATAATGATGTTATACATGAAAGAATTTTCCCTTTTTAGATGATAAAAAAATCGTAGGGAAGTCATATTTAAATGTCAAATCATTCTGGCTTAAACATGCATATAAATATACTCTTTATTAGATGATATTGTCCCAAAATGTAGGAAAAATATCCTCTCTTAAAATCTGTGTTTTTTTTCGTTATCTTCTTTAGGTCAGTTAGTTCTACGTCAGCCTGAACACCTAAATTCAGCCAATCATATA